TTTCATTATCATAGAATTAAATATGACAATCAAACAATCTCATTAAATGTAATTAAATTTCGTTTATCATTAATTCAATGTGGTCAATCTGTTGTTAAACAAGAAAATCTTTATAAAATAATTCAACAATTACCTGAATTAATAAAAACAACTAAAGATATTTCTTTAAATGAAGAATTAAATAAAAATTATTTTAAAGAAAATATAATTCGTTGGTTAGAATATATTTTAAAAGAATGTTATCAAGCAAGACAATTTTCAATAATTGAACAAAATAATCCAATGATTATTACACAAATTATTTCAATTATACGAAAAGAAATCTTATATATAGCTGCATTTTTTATTAAAGATATTTAAATTTCAATATCTTGTTTTAAAAAAATTCCTAAAACAAAAAAAAAAGAATTTATATTTTTATTAATAAAATTATAAAAACGAACCATCAAGTTTTCTTAGAGATTTAATTAATTTATGTACTGTATCTAGCCATGATTCTTCATCTTTTTTCCATTCATCATGTAATGGATTTCCATTAAAAACTAAATCTTCAAGAGTTGAAATTGCTGACTAGAAAATTAAAACAAAATTAAATATGAAAAAATTTTAATATTTTGAAAATTACTAATCGACGTAATTCTGACCATTCTTTAATATGATTATTACTCATATATAAAACCTAAATAATTATATATAGATAGATTTTTTGTCGTAAAGAATTTACTCGAAGTTTTTTCATTGTTAAAATTCCATCAAATTTTTGAATTGAATTATATGATATCCAAAGTTCTTCAAGAGTATCACTTACAACTTCCTATTTTAAAATATATTTTAAACGTCAAAGAATTATTATTAAAATTTACTAATGGAGCAAGACTTGTTATTAAATTTCGACCAAGTGATAAGATTTTTAAATGTTCTACAGATTTTCAAATTAAATTTTAATAAAAATTCTTTTATCTATTTACTTAAACCATTAAGATTGGCAATTCTTTCGATCATATTTGTTGATAAAGATAATTTTCTTAAAATATTAAATAATATTTATTTATTCTTTGAATTTATATAAAATTAACTAACTCGCAACGAATTAATTTTCCAAGTGAATGATCCATTATATGTATTGGAGGATAATGTCCATTAAGCATTATTACTTTAGCTTGTCGAGCTGATTCACCTGTTTCTCCTTCCTAGTTTTTAATAAAAATAGATCATTATTTGTTTTTCAATTAATCTATGAAATACCCATTTAATAAGTGCTTCAGTTGTAGTAATTGAATGTACAGTATCATCTGAATCTCGATTGAGAATAGATAAACGTCGAGTTGAATTTTTTGATGTCTAATAGATTTTAAAAAGAATTTCTACTGATAAAAATAAAAGTAACGAATAAAGCACTTACCATTGTAATGATAATAAAACATACTGTTCGTAATGTGTGTTAGAGGTTCTTATCAGATTATAAATCATAAAACATAGCAACTCCTTTACACAATCAATGTTTTATATTTCAAAAGATTTCTTTTTCGTCTTTATTCGTTTCAAAAAAACTTCGTAAAATCAATATTAATAGAGATATCTTAATTAGACACAATATTCTACATACTGAAGTGATGATATACGATGTTGTAGGAATTTATATTGATCATATAACATTTTCGATCAACTCAACAAATAGTTTCTATTTTGCTTTTTCTTTCAATTATTTTTGGTATATTTCAATTGTACGTAATCGATTAAAATCTGTTATTTTTCATGCAAAATTTAACATCATAGAACTATAATCTAGTTCTTATTGAATTTTAAAATAATAATCGATTTTAATCAATTACATACAACTTAGTTAACACGCAATTAAAATCGTGCCATTTTAATTAGCTATTTTACATGGATGTGTGCATTTATGAATGATTTCCAATCTTTTTAAATATAATAAACTAAATATTGTTTTTTCTTTTACTGTTTGTATGATATTTAAGAATTTCTCATTGTTATTCGAAGTCAAACTATAGAAATGAGTAATAAATGGTTGTATGTGATCATATAGTGAAGAAAAACATTGCAACCAACAACGTACGAAACCGCTCATATATATAATCGAATATCTTCAATATTTTTGTTTTGTAATAATAACGAAAACAAACGTTTTGAAAAATAGTGTATCTCAATATAAAACAGAATTAATCGTTTTCTATCAATGTTGAAAAAGAGATGATTATATCTATCTCTTTCTCCTTTCTAATAGTATAACATCAATAAAAAATACACAATTTTATCAAAATTTTCATTTATTGAAACAATTTATAACATAGGAAAATATTGATGATATTTTTCTGAAGATAATGATTGATCTACATATTAGAATTGGGTTATAGTCTTTCAGAAATTTGTTTCTTTTATGCAAAGAAAATAGTAGCCGTTATGATTCTCCCTCTCTCATCGTTTGCATATGCATATATATATACTATTATTTTCTTTTTCTTCGTTATATATACACACAAGCACGTTTTCTGCTTCATTTTATTTTATCATATATGTGTTGTTTAGATTTATACTTCATCTAGATAAAGTTGTTTCTACAGTATGGCTCAATCCACACGAACATTCATACGAATGTTAATCGATTCTCGTTTCAAGGTAAATAAAAATATTTGAATGTTATTTGTTTTACATATATTTATATTTAGGAAAATCAACTTCAAGATAGTAGTATTTATTTGCAAAACGAAAGAAAATATATAGATGAAGCTATAAAAATATCAAAATCAACAGAAAAAGATAACCATATAAAAGAGAAAAACATTTTAAAAACAGAAGAGAAATTGTTATATAACCTGGTTGACTATCTACAACAAGTCCGCTTCATAAGTACCAATAAAGAAACAAACAGTAACAAAGACAAATAAACAAAAATATTATTTACTTTTTTGTCTGTTATTTGATAAAAAGAAAAGAATAAACATTTAACACCATCCATTTAAGTTATTCTAGTTTGATCAATCGATAAGTGCGCTACTTCAGAAATAATAATTATATCTCTTATTTTAAAAGTAGAGCTGCTATTTTTTTTTACCGTTTTAATTAGAATGAAATATAGAGAAATAAAAATGTACTATTTATCATTTTCATATAGAGACTGCAAGCGAACAAAGAGAGACGTATTACTATACATTAAATACGAATAAAATCTTGAGGGTGTGGATGTGTACTGAATACAATATCCATCCCACACCCACAGGGTCAAGTAAATCTCAAACGCTGGTAGAAATACAAAGATCGTATGTAGTACTTTGTTGACGTTTTACTCGTATAGGTAGATGAATATATATATGATGTATTAGTTATATATCGAAATTTTGAATTATGATATAAAGGTAAATATTTAATATCTGAGTGTCTGTTGAATTTTTACACATATTGATGTATGAATATAATTGATGTGTTCTTTATATATCGAAAATTTGAATTATTATAAAAGAAAAAGTAAATATTTGATATCTGAGTATCTACTGAATTTTTATGCATATAGGTGGATGAATATACTTGATGTAATCATTATACAAAAGTAAATATCAGATATCAGAGTATTTGCTAAATTTTTACACATATAGGTAGATTAATGTAATTCATTTATTCATTATATATCGAAATTATAAAATATTATACAGAAGTAAATATCCAATAGCTGATGAGTTACCGTATTTTTCAGGATTGCGCTAACTAAATAGCTGATGATTTCTGTAATAGCATGAGATAGCAAGTAAATGTCATTTAGAAGAAACTGATGGCAGTTTGAGATTTGCCACGACCTCACCCGTCAATCTGAACACATATAAATTGGTAAGTGACTGCCATAGACTAGGCATGCGCGGCAATTGAGCTTTACTATTCTTATAACTCCTGGTTATGCAGTTTCAATGGACTTTCAGATGATTGTTTTCTATTCTTTTGTATGAAAAATGCTGTGATCTTGATTAATCTTCAATATTTTTAGATAATTATTCATAATGGGTAATAGTTCTAGTCGTACTAATCCTCCATGTCGTTGCACTTGTTGCTCTCGCTGTTGCCCACCTAAAAGATCGACAACCATTTCACCAACACCTATTCCACCAACACCCATTCCACCGACACCTGTTCCACCGAGACCCTCTTCATCTCGTGTATTCAAATTTACTGAATATGAACCTGCAGCCATGCCCGATATCTACAGGGACAAAGCTGACTACCAGGATCTATTGGATATTGAACCACTTGTGGTAAGATAATTTTATTTCGATATAAATTATATATATACATATCCAAAAATTTCTCAGAAGCCTTTCCTTCTTCTAAATTTCATCTAAAATTAAGATTATCTAACTTAATATAATAAATCTAAACTTTAATTAGCTAATATCGAATTAATTCATTTATATTTCAGCACAGCATAATTATGACACAATTATCATCACAGACAGCATCCAGCAACAAAACAAATCTCATAAAAGAACCGTTGGAAAATAAATGGACGGAATCATACTTGACGCATGGAGAATTGTCTGATGTCATCACCGAAGTTAATAGTGATACGCATGGATGTATTAAATCAGTTGAATCACAAGAGATCAACATTGGGGCAGAAAAGTTTCAACAAATTACAGTCGAGATTGAGAAATTAATCGCCAATCAATTGCGATTAATTTCACAAAGAGAACAAGCGATCATTCAGAAACATAGACAAGAAAGTACAAATGCTGTAAATAGAATAATCACTAAGGGAAGATCTTATCAACGAGCTAATGAAAAAGAACACCAACGATTGATAGAAGAATACGTTGTTCAATTAGAAAAAGCACTGGTCACACATTTAGATCATCTTCAGAAGGCTGTAGAGGTCGATCAACGAAGTATAATCAGCCAGTCGCAACAATATGTTGGAGATTGTGCTCTTGACGCATTAAGAGCTAGACAAAATATCCTGAATAATGCCTTTTTGAGCGCCAACAAAATGATTACAGAAATACTGTCTCAGCACGAGGTGGAATTTTGGGACATCAAAAAGCAACCTGTTGGTCGTGAAGAACTACGAACTATTGACCTTCGTATATATTCTACTGTTGGAGAAAACCAGCATGGTCTAGTTTGTGATAAAATATCTGATCGAAACAAATTTATCAAAACGATCAATGATACAAAATCACAAAATATACCCAAGAGAACAGTGTATCTAAAAAGTGATCCAAGTATTACAATACCGAGAACATAATATGACGTCGACAAATGAAACAGAACTATCGAAAGACAAAGACAAATTATAGTTATCTAAATATAAAAACCAGTTATTTTTATTTAATGAAAATACTTTTCTATAGAACGGTGTGTGTAAGAGATTGAACCACACTTGTCCAATGAAGCGTTAATCGTCAGTTTAGAATAATCATTTTTGACGACATGTTTACTTCGATCAAAGTTTGTCGCATTGTTTTGATTAAATTTCTAAGCATGCATCGTGACAGTTTCTAACAGAAAAAATGTTTATTCTGATGGTTTTACACTTTATTATATTTCTTCTTATTAAAAATCGTCTTGATTTCATACAAAGCATAAACTTATATACCTGCCCATCAGCGAAAACGAAAAAATATGAAAGGAAAGAATAATAGAGACAGAATAAGCTGGGGACAAAATTTCACATGATTTATAAAATAAAAGCAATACTTGAAATGAAAAGAAACCATAAGAACAGAACAGACATCGTTACATACACAAAAATGTATGAATGCATTTACTTCCTTTCGCTAAAAATACTTTGATTTAATGTGACAAAACACTTGAAAATATTTAAGCTTTTTACATGTCAGGTACTTTTCAATGTGCTCTGCTAAAAGAACTGATTTCAATCAATCCAACTGAAAAGTCATGCATCACTTCACTCTAAAAGTGTTAGTGCTGAAACATACATATTATCATTACTCATTCAAGTCACTTCAAATAAAGGAAGTAGCTAGGTGTATTTAAACGACATACACTTTTCACATTATTCATTCGAAAAGTCATCAACGTTCAGCCTCCAGCACAGCAAGGTAAAATAGACGAGTTTCTCTTATGATTGATTTATTTTTACAATCGTCTTTCTTATAGATATGTTACCGTTAGGTACGTTTGTATTGGTAGTCATTGCGACTATCATACTTCATTGTAATAGTGCTCCTACGATCTACACCATAACTAAGCAACAATATACAACGATTCAAATTGGATGGACTCGTAATCAAGTGACAAACTTAGTTGGTAGCTACGGAACTGTTATAGTACAAACTAGTGCAAGCAGCGGGAATGTTACTATCGTTCAATATACAGGAACTGGAACAACTGCTGCTGTGGTTCTCTTTGGATTTGTCGACGGACAGTTAATATCGAAATCTGAAGCCAGTTTCGATTCTCCAGTCAACAATAAAATCACTCTACAACAGTATAAGACAATACAAATTGGATGGACTCAACAGCAAGTCACACAGCTCCTTGGTGGTCCTGGCAATATTATTTCACAAACGGGTACGCCAGGTTTACCGTACCAGGCTACTACAGTTCAGTATTTCGGACTGCAGTCATCTACGGTAAGCGTTGGTTTTATTTTTCTCGATGGAATCCTTTCCAACAAAGGTCAAGTTGGACTAGATACCGGAGTTTACACTATTACTAAGCAACAATATACGGCGGTTCAAGTTGGATGGACTCGTGACCAAGTGACAAACTTAGTTGGTAGTTCAGGAAACGCCGTGTCAGAAGCCGGCACGGCTAATACGGTTGCTATTATCGTTCAGTATACCGGACTTGGAACAACGTATGGTCTTGTTGCCTTTGGATTTGTTAGCGGAAAGGTCGTATCCAAGTTTGAAGTCGGTCTTGATCTACCAGTCAGCAATAAAATTACTCTACAACAATATAAAACGATACAAAGCGGATGGACTCAATAGCAAGTCGCAGTGCTTCTGTGAGCGTGTAGCTCAAAGTGACTACTCTAGATGTGAAGCTGGAGATGTGATGATGGTGATGATTTATTGAAAATAAAACAGCACTATATATAGTACAGCGCAACAAAGGTGGAGCTGGACAACGATCATCCAGCTTCACAAAGGAAAAATGACGCAATGAAAGAGATGATGAAATGAAAAAAAAGAAAAGATGATGAAATGAACATGAGAAAGAAAAGATGATGAAATGACAGATGTGGATGACTCACATATGTGAACATATGTAAAAAGAACAAAGACATATGTACAGATATGTGAGAAGAACAGAGAAAAAAAAAGAAATGACATAAATGTGGAGAGAGAAAACAAAAAGAAAATGGCAAGATATGTGGATGAACTAGAGGATGATATATATCATCCTCTAACAGCTTCTTGGTGGTCCTGGTACTATTGTTTCGCAAGTAGGTACGCCCGGTACATCATCCCAGCTCACCACAGTTCAATATTCCGGATTACAGCCATCTACGGCGATCGCTGATTTTGTTTTTATCGGTGGATCCCTCTCTAGCAAAGCACAAATTGGACTAGATACTGGAGTTTACGCCATCACGAATGAGCAGTATACAGCGATTCAAGTTGGATGGACCCGTGACCAAGTAACAAGCTTAGTTGGCAGTACAGGAAATGCTATGTCAGAAGGTGGTACCGGTAGTACAGCTGTTGTTCTCCTCCAATATACTGTGCCTCAATCAGCCTATGGTCAAGCTACTTTTATATTTATCAGCGGAAAGCTTTCCAGCAAATCCAAGTTTGGCTTCAAATGAGAAACTTTTTTCTTTCTGATCTTGCGTTTTTTTTATCTTAATCACGAATATCTTTTATCATTTTCTTTTGTTTTTTCTTATCTTAATCATATTATATAATCCGGACTATATATCTAAAACTTAATAAAACTAAAAAGAAATTATATAAATTTGTTAGCTGGCATATAGGAGGATGAGGGATGTAGATGAGTGTGGATGATGGAGCATAAGTATACTACACTCACGCCCATCCGTCATTGAGCAAAGATCAAAACTTTATCGAAATTCAAAGAATACTACAGATCAGGTCACTTATCTAGCGCAGGAAAGCACGCCTAATGGTCTGTTCGAAAAAAAGATACTTTGTATCTTGTTTTCTTCTTTAAGAAAATTAGTTTTCTCGTCTCTCTTACATTTCTATTCATTATTGTAACAAGGAAAGATATCGCTGTTTGATAATGTAAGCCATGAATACTAATTTTTCTTCGTCAACAAAAATATAAAAAAAATAACACATGCTACTTCTATTCATTTCTTTATAAGTAAAACTGAGTAGAATATGTATTTGATAGATTAACGTTAAGTAAAATCATCTAACATCTTTGATTATGACGACAAATACAAATCAATCAAACAGTTTTTCATTGATGATATAGTATGTTATTTTTGACGATTTTATATTTTAGAAACCTAAACTAATAGAACTTGTTTTAGAAGAGAAATCTTTGGTAAAAAATAATTGCCATGGACTAGTCTTAGTGTTATTAGAGTGATCGTAGCAGTTGACGATAAGTGTGGATGCAGGAGTGGCTGGGTAGATAAAAATATAGATTCTCTCACACCCTGCTTTCATATAGTTTTGTAAAGAATTGCACGGACTATCTATTGAACAGAAAAGCTCAATTATCGTTGCCACAATTTGAGCGAGATATTTCAAAAACACTGAGAGGATCATTTATTCTGGGACATCCGTTATTTTCACTTTCAACCATGTTAATTTAATCATAATTATTCGTCATGATGAATAATTTTAAACGATAATAAAATTATGAATTCAGCTGATTTTTTTGAATAGCATTTGGTGAAGATTTATTCTGATGATGAACAATCGCACTTTCCTTCTCATATTTATAAACTATGAAATAAGAATAAAATCAGTTGTACAATACATTTTAGATATCAGATAATGTCGATATATTTTATTCTTTAGGAAGTATTGCACTTTTTTTTATAAAAGCATGATTTTCGATGTATTATTAACAAGAATAACATTACATTTTGTTGGAAACACTCTGTTTTCACATCCTTCCTACAAACATTTCAGTATCATGAACATTTTTTTATATTTACAACAAATAATCCCTGATATTTTATATTAGTTTTGAAAAGGAAATAGATGCATTGTTTTTCTTTATTGATACATTCAAATGTTGTGTTCGCAGCAAATATTTCAAAAAAAAAGAAAATTGTCATTGACGTCAATAATAGAATATATGAATCATGTCAAGAATATTCTTTAGGAAATGTTCTCTAACTAAATGTCCTTGAAAAAAATGTCTCCTAAGAATTGGTTCCGACTTGAAAAACGTCCCTTATGCTTAACTAAGACAATTTCGAATGAAGTGTGTCATAAACATAGATAACGCTATAATTTAACTAAAATTCATAGTGTCCTAAGTAAGTCGAATAGAGGACTTATTTTATATACAAGGAGTGAAAGAAAAGAGTGAGGTTGAGAATGTCAGTGCTGACAGAAGAAGAATACGACACCCACATCACGGAGTTTGTTGGCTCCCGCTTATAAAAAAAAGGTAGACCTTGGACTATGTTGTAGAGAGAATGAAAAACAATAATATTAAGATAAGAGTATAACAACACCTTTGCTGATGAAGATAATATTAGTCATCTTCCGTTACTTGCGTGAGAATAAAAGGCAAACAGAAAGTAACTTCGAAAAATAGTGTTCTTTTTTTACCCTTGAGTTTCATCTGAAACATAATATGCACACCAATCAAGTTTACAGAGAGCGTGTTATTGTAAATAATGGACCACACAAATGGTGGCACCACCGTTGGTTCAAAAGAATCGCCATTTCCGTTACTGTTTTAATAGTTTTCGCTGTTATTCTTGCTCTGATGTTAAAATTCGTCGTTTTTGCACCGAAGAAATCAGAAACTAGTACCACCGCCGCAACATCATTGTCATCACTAACAACAATAATATCAACACCACCGTCATTATCAACAACAACAACAACATTAGTGATATCGACCACAAGTTCACCACAAACAACAGCCATGACTACAACGCAGCCCACAGGTAAGCATCAGAGAACGTTTTCCGATTTCCTTAAATGTTACTTTTAAATCAGATATAAGTGGTTGCTTAGCATTCAAAAGTTTTCTATATCTCACTAAAAGTTATATTAAAAGAACAGTGATTTTGTCATGAGTGTTTCGATCGTTATTTTAAGAAGAAATTAAGATGCAATGATCACCGAATTCGCTATTTTTTCTCTTTGTTTGATATCACAACATACCCTACTTTTAAGTATAAAGAGAACAGAAAAAAATCATTTTGCTCCAAAGCAGCGTACGCATATCTGTCATACACGGAGATGTAGACCAGTCCTTCTTCTCTTTCGTGTATTAATATAAATAGCTGTATTTGCATATTATTTATTAGTCAGTCCGTTGCCTTTGATTTATTCTTCTGCTTCCTAGATAAGTCAGAGGTCAACTTGCGGACACAATAGGATGCAGTCTAAGTTCTTTGGGCATGATAAACCACCGCATTCATTAGTCTGAAACGGTGCTGTAAATGCAACCGTATCTAGACACCATTCCCAACTGCAAAAATTCGTAAGAAACGAATCGAAAAAAGCAATAAGGACCGATTTTCCTTTACCTAAGAGTTTAATTACGTAACTATCATCAATAGAAGCTGTATATAATGAAAAGTGCATTAATTTTTATAAACACTGTGGCGACAAGTATAAAATATAAACCTGTTTCATAT